CAGATTAACATGAAATCAAATACTTACACTGCTGTAATATAAACTACAATAGCATAACCTAAATATCAGTTGGATACACTATATAACTACAGTTTGGTTTGTGACATGCTTCGCAGACTACCTTTGAGTGGCTGGAGATGATGGATTCCAGTTGGTTAAGGGAGTTCTCGTTCCTGTGGCAGAAGGTAGATTGGAAGGCCTTTGGCTAGTAAACCTGGGAAGCTCATCCAAAGAAGGTCCACCTACAGGTGGTGTAGAGGGTGGGCTCAAAGTCTTTGAATTATTGCTCGGGTCCTCTTTGGATTTAACATCCAGTGGACTACACTTGCCACATGAACCAAGCAGAGGTGTCAGTTGTGTAGGGCTAGTTGCATCTTCCTGCAACTGGGCTAAAGCGTATGAATGCTCTGATCCTTCAGAGATGACTTTCGAGGAAGCTGCTGACTGTAATGGGGGATATGCACCTACTTCACTAACAGAGGACACTACAGGTGTTATTTCCTCCATGCTAGTGGCTTCAGTATCAGCCCGGGCCTGCTTGGAATTCAAATGTCCTGTATGCATTTCATCTTGTTTATCATCAATGGACAAAATGCTTTCACAGTGCTGTACAATTAAGTCCCTTTTCTTCTCTACACTGTGAATCTCTTCTTCTAAATGTTTAATGAATAGTGAGTCAATAAAAAGTTCACTACTTATTCCAGAATTGCTCACAAAAGCAGGTTTCTCTTCTTGCAATGTCTGTCTTTCTTCCGTCCTATTTATTGCAATGGATTTGTCCACAGCATATGAATGGTTCTCCTGAACAGACTGCAGAACAATGTCAGCATGCTTGTCCAATGGAAACCTGGCTAGGTTGGATGGCATTTCTGGCTCAGCTTGGACTTGAGTTCCAGAGCAAGTTGAAAGTGACAAGGATTGATTGCCCTCTTGCACTTTAGACTCACATTTTTCTAATGAGCTTTCTCTATGATCTGATATTACAGAGACCTGTGATTCCATAACAGTTGTTAATGAAGTAGCAGAGGATTCAGCACATGAAAAATACAGTGAATTAGATCCATTTGTTGAGATCTCATCTGGGGGCCCAATGAGATTACAGTCATTTTCTTGGTGATATGTTGTAGACAGCTTCTCCCTTAAAATGATGTGACCAAAAGGCTCAGTAGGTGTTGATACTGAAGACTCTTCTGCAACAAAAGAATAGGCAACAGTTTATTAAACAGATTTAAATTAATGTGTAAAATAATATTGTGACGAGTGGGGGCGGGGCCGAGAGCCGTGGGAACGG